ATCAGAACATTAAACCTACTGCATGGGAAATCTATTTTGTAAAAGCTAGCAGTTGTTTCTTCTGAAGAATAAAGTGTATTCAGCCCAATGAAAGAATTCATTCTGAGACATTAATGTAAATTAAAATGAAAATCCTTATCTTTATCTAGCTTATGCATAAAGAGGAAAAAAGATAGGAACAGGATGTCATTCTGTATTTTAAGGTAATTACTGATGAAGCTAACTATAAACTTCTAAAAATGAAAAAGAACTTACTCAAGAAATGGAAAAGATTGCAATATTTAAAATAAAGTATTAAAATCATTTGAAAAATGTTCCCGGGGACAGCTGAATCTACAATACAGCCAAGTATCCTTTAATAACTAAGACTCACCTTTCAAGTAACAAAGCCTAACCTACTCTGGTGGGGAAAAAAAAACCAAAAACCTCTCACCCTGACTTTATTTAGTCTTCCTTTATCTTTAGTTTCTCTCTACCTGCGCTTTCTCACATTTGGTCAAAGACATCTGCATGGGAAGTGCAGGGTAAGGTAAAAAAAAGTATCAGGCTTTTCTGTCCTCCCGCCATTAGGATTGATGATGGATCCCTGCGGTCCGAATGCGTGCTTGATGGCGGGCACCAGAGTAGGGCGTGGGCATATGTAAGTGGGTACACCTGGGCTTATAAGGGCAGTGTCACATGGACGCCAGCAGAAACATGGGAACAGAAGAGCAGCAAAGAACGAGGCCAGAGAGCCCAGAGAGAGTGAAGACTTGCTGGGGGCTAGGAGGTCTGCCAGTCTCCTGGCCCCCTGGTACCCCTGCCTGCCATGTATCTGGTAAATCCCAATAAAAGCCTGCAAAAAACCACTGGGGGCTCCAGGACTCCTCCTTCACCCGTCTGCTTGGGTCATAAAGAACCTGCCCTGTGCCCTTCTTGCCACCACAGAAGCTTCTAATAATCCCCTATATTTTGGGAGCCCCTACTGATACATTAAAAATCTTGCCATGGCAAGAGACATACAACCATTTTGACAGAAACTTCATCAAGTTTATTACAGTTCCTAATCATAATGCAAATTATGTTGGACTGAGATTTTTTTGGCATGCTACTAACAGGACAATTCTGGCTTATACTTTGGACTCTGGTGTTTGCAGCATTTAAAATACATGAAAACATCCCAGGAGTTCTTTGCATTGTATTGTGAACATTATGCATAAGCTCTTAGTTCCATGAAAAGAAACAAATAGACAAAGCTGAAATTCAGATCACTTGAAATGAAAAGCAACACTGAAATACTGTATCTGCCATCTATTTTGAAAATTAACAGGTTATAGAAATTGTTCTGACCAGCATTACTAGCCCTGAAAAATTTAAAGCCAAAAGGGTCACTGGTACAGCAGCCTTAATAAAGAACATATTTATATTTGTTTTATATTTTTGTTTGAGAGGATTAACATATGTGAGGGTATTTAAGCCATCTCCCTCCCAAACTTGATCTTCTAAAAAGACTAAAGAATTCCCTTCCATCTACCCCTAAATAAACTTTTCTGATTTTAAAGGTTATTAGATACCATTGCAGATGGGAAGGGAGGCTTCTCCTCCACAGCAATCATCTCAGGACCAAAGAATTCCTTTGAAATGCACATAAAAGCAGCAGTGTAGTCATTATCAGACCATAGCCAAAATATGGTTACAGAACCAAAATAATTCTGAAAATAGGCTCTCTCAGTTGCCTTTTTGGTGAAAAAGGCTAATAATCGTTTTCATGGTAAACAAGTCAATTCACTCATTTGTCTATCAGTGACACCTGCAGTACAGTTTCTCTTAACAGGCTTTTCATAACAAGGTCCTATCCAGAAGCAAACACCCTAGAGGGCCATATTAAACTAATCACACAGTTGGAAAAGTCTATCGGTACCAATTACTCTCAAAATCTTCCAGATGGAGATCAGTTCTTCCACACTGGGTGGCAGGAAAATGTAAGCCCTTAAAGAAGTAACAGCAGGTCCTCATCTTCCACAAGTAACGTTTCATTTAACATCTTTCATTATAAAGTGGAGAAAAACAAAATCCCAGGCGATTTGAACAAAATGTTATTCATTCATTACACATTGTTTCACTTAAACTCACAGTTTCCAAGAACCTATAGATAAGTGAGGACTTAGTGTATATAGTGGAAAGCCTCATGGGGGTGAATGGGAGGGAAAAGGGGAGAGGGTGGCCATATCCTAGAAGAAGGTTAATTTATTCCAAAATGGCATGTTGTGATTTGCCTGAGACCTCAACCTCCAATTACCTGCCCTTTATCTCCTTTTAAAAGCCTAAGAAAGGAGTTGAGGAGGGGGGAATATGGGTACAGTTTCAGTCTTAACAAGTAGTGAAGAATGCACAACCATGTGAAAATACTTAAAGCTATTGAATTATGTCCTCAAAAATGGTTAAAGTGGTAAATTTTATGTGATGTGTATTTTACCACAATTAAAAAAAAAATGCGCAAAAGCTGAAATTCATAAGATTATCAGGGATATGCTCTCTACCCATTTGTCCAGATCTACAAATTAAATCACTGGTGCGCTAGACCCATCTGAGGTTTCCCAAACAACATTTTCATACTTTCATACTATAATCTCTGTTTAGACTGAGGGCAAACAAGATTTGGTTACATAAAACTAGTACCACACATTACATATTACTTTTAGGCAAAGTCAGCCTATAGTGTTGTTTACTTTATGTATTAGTTTTTAGATTTTTTTCCTTAAAAGGTCCACCACTCCCACAACTTTTAATAAGTGAAAAATCTTTCTCCTTACCAAATATAACAATTATATTTTTATACAACAATTATTTTTTAGAATTCTATTGTTCCAGGTTATGGCTTTATTTATAGATTGCTAAGATCTTAAATGTTCAGTTTGAGTCTTCTTATGCCAAAGTATTACTATTAACTAACTTCCTTTTGTGTTTGCACTCTTATTTAATATCTATTTTAAGGAACATCAATGTCCTTGGGAAATAGACAGGGTATGATAATAAAGAGATCGAAAGGCTGGTCACCACACTGAACCCTATGTAGCATATTAAGACAGTGATTTACAGTGATGCACACCAAAACGTATATAGAAATACTGTTACTTCAATAAAAACTTGGTTTAAGTATGTTACACACTATAAAACCAGCAATAGTGAAGATGAATCTTCACAGAAAAAGGAGCATTATTGACTAGTTTCTGACTGCTTTATAAAGAAACTTTGGCCAAAGACTCCAAATACTAAGCCACAACAGTGGAAAACAAACAAAAAAAAAATTGTTTCTTGCAGGGTTGAAACTAGGGTAGCTGATTACATACTAAACCTAAACAACCAACCAAGCCATAACTGTATCCCTGTAATTCTATCAACAACAGGCAGAGAGCGAGCCACTTAAGGCTACCAGGGGAGACAGGATCAAATATCAAACTAACCTTCTCCCTCATTTTTTCTCTAAATTAGAATGCACTTAAATCATTTCAGTGCAGAAATTTTGCCATACATCTGTTAGACAATAATGCTTGTGTGCCTCTACTCACATTTTAATAGCTACAAAGTACAGGGGACCCCTGAATTGCCTGGGTCTGAAGTGAGCAGGTCTACTCATCCCTGTATTTTCTTATAAATAGACAAGTCAACTTACAGTATTGATAAACACAATATGGTACTGTAAATGCATTTCCTCTTAATTGTGATTTCCTAACATTTTCTTTTCAATTAGCTTACTTTATTTTTGTATGGTAAGAATATATACAACATACAAAATTTGTGTTAGTCAACTAGCATGTTAGTGATAAGGATTCTAGTCAACTGTAAGCTATTAGTAATGTTTTTGAATAATCAAAAATTATACTCAAATTTTCAACTGCATGAGGAATCAACTCCCCATCACATGTTGTTCAAGGGTCAACTGAATATATAATTTTGTGCAAATCTCTAATAGCATCTTTATTTGGTAAGTAGGCTGAAGAATTAGAATAAAAGAGGAGGTAAAAGTTATCTGGACCATTGTACGATTTTAGCATAGAAGTGTCTTCTTTTGCAGATTGATTACCTATGTTGGAGGGTAAGAAAGGAATGTAGGAAGTTTTCTTAAAAACCTCAAATACTTTATTACAATCTCACTAGCATATACACACTTCTCCCAAATTAATGAATGAAACTGCTAGCAATGTCAGAGAACAGAAAATGCAAGTGGGTGTTTTCTACCTTGCCATCTAAGGACAAAATGGTAGAAATGTTCTTTTGGGATAATTTTTTTATATGTTTCCTATTTTGGACAAGCTGTGCTAAATATAGAAAACAGTAACTTACTTATTACTTAAGTTCATAATAACCCACAAACTATTTCTCTATACAAATTTCACTTTTTTACTTTATTTGCATGCTTTGAACTAGAAAAATAAAACCTCCTGTACCTTTTGTGCAATAGGTGTTCTACATACTGCTAGTTGTTAATGTTAAGTTTGACAGACGGTCTAATACTTGTTCAGTGTCATAATGTGCTCATCCATTTGAACACAGTTGATTGTGTGTAATTTTAACTGTAACAAGAGTATTTTTATTTTTTCCCAAAGTTGACATTTCACTTTAAATTCTCATATTTTAGTGCAAAAGATGCACTTCTGACTGCCAAAAACATTTATGTATTCATTACAGATTCAGCATATAAGGGGGAAAAATCTGGTATTAATCCTTATTATTTCCAAAATACTGCACACAGCATTTACTCTTATGCTAAAGCCGCAGGATCATTAGCAATTTCTCGAAATGCTCAGGGTGTAAACATCTTACCTTATCTAAACAGATGAGCTACAGAACCAGTCTTCAGTATCATAAGCTGCCTTCTTTACCTAGTATTCTTAATCTCCAAAAAACTTTAGTTACAACCTCATCAGCAAAAGTTTCAAGCAAAGTGTTCTATCAACGTCATTTTATTCCTAGAGAGGAAAACAGGCAGGATAGATGAGAGGGTGGAAAAGATAATTTACCTGCATCAGTTTTCTGGAGAGCTCATTAGTAAGGAACTCTTCCTCCTTCTCATAATTTACAGCAAGAGTTTCTTTCTCTTTCTGCAAGGCCTGGATTTTCTTGAATAAGGTATTACTGATGAATTCTTCTTCCTGTTCAGCCCTGGCTTGCTGTTTAAAAAACAGAAAACATGTTAAGGAAACAGGAGTTTACTAATTGAAATTAACTCTTAATTCCAGGAGGGGTGCCCATTTTAATCAGAACTCTATTTTAAACTATGAAGCAACACCCCAAGAAGCACAAAACAGAGTAACTCAGGAGAAACGATAAAAGCAAATGTGACCATTACTACCAAAAGGCCTTCTTAGAAAAATGTTATTTCAAAGAAATTAATTAACAATTATTTTGCAATTTTAGAAGCAACCCCAAGTTGCTGCATTCACTAGAATACAATGCTCCTTTGCATATGGAGGACAGGTCCAATTCCAGAGTATGTGTATTCAATTCATCGCAACTAAACTCTATAGGTCAACACATCTCAAAAAAGTTTATTATTTAAATATCTGGGCAACAGGGGGCCTCCCTGGTGGCACAGGGGTTAAAGTCTCAGTGCCATAAAGCTATCACCAGCCACTGCTGTGCATGAGGTCGATCCCCAGCCGGGGAGCTAACCCACATGGCACAGCAGATCTCTCCTCATATGCCCGCTGCTCCCCTCAGCAGTGTATTTCAGTCAGTCTGCCTGTTCTGCTCCCCACTCTGTCTCTGCTGGATCCTCTCACCTCTCACACCTCTGGCCTATACCCCAGTTCTTGTATGCATAAATAAATAAATCTTTTAAAAAAAATATCTGGCCAACAGTTTTTTTCCTAGAGCAGAGAAGTTCATTTCAACTCATTTAAAATCACCTTTTTAGGGTGTTACTGAAAGGGTCTGGATGTGCCATTTAAAACACACTACGGATACACGTGGATTCATTTACACAGATTCAGTTACTGGAAAGAAAGAAACCATATGGCTAAGAAGTGACTACTGCAAAATCGTGGGAATCGGGGCAAAAAAAGGTGGACAGGTGGAGTTTTATTTCTCAATTTATGTCTTTTGGAATTGAGGGCAAGGACAGGCATTTCAACATTTTTAAAATAAGAAAAGGAGATCAGGCATAATTAGATGGAGATGTAAATACTCTTCTGTAGATTTTCCTCCCCGTATACATTTAAAAGAAAAGGCGTAAACCTAACCACTGTTGAAGAGATTCAATCTTTTTCAAAAAAGAGGGTACTTGTTTCAAATGGATTCTATTCAAAGCACGTTTTATTTAAACTGCAACATTTTGATGCATTAATCAAAAATCACTCCTGTACAAGTTGAAAGGCCTCAGAGCCACATCAATTCCAAGCCAGTGGAATATTTTTGCAAAACAAGCAAGTCAGGAGAAGAGACAAAGGCACGCCTACATTAAACAGTTACCATCTTTTTTGTAGAAGGTTTAACGACCACTCCCAACTCTGGAGGTTTAGATTTCTGCACATATTTACTAGCTTCCCCAACCCTCACGCTAATAACCGTGGTTCTGGGAATTCCATCCTCCCTGCCCCCATCAGTGGTTTAGAAGCATGCCAATCCCTGCAATGCCTGGCCAGCAATTCTACAAAAGAGAGACCCATAGACTACTCAGAAATACAGAGCTACAAAAACAGGAGACACTATGGACCAAGGTCCAGGTCGCAGGCACTTTAAGAAATCATTTGGTATACACCAGGAGAGTTGAGCATCAAAGAATACATCACTCAATAAATTTTTATTACCAGCTGAGAGCACCCTGTAAGCAGTTCCTGGATCCCCAGTGGCTCTCATACATACTTCACATTTCAACAGTACTCCTCAATGTCTTTATTTACTCTGCGCTATGGTCAAATATAACTGCTGATGATTGGTACTCCCCCCCACCCCCGCCTTATATTAATTCCTGTTCATCTTCAAAATTCACATCATATCTCAAGATCTCAAACTAGTGTAATGGGCAGGAATCCAAAGAATTCATTTAAGGCATATTTGACACATATACCCAAGCCTGCAATCTGTTCCAACTACCTGTTTTTCTGGTTTTTGACAATGTCCTATATGATTTGAATTCTGATTATCCTCAAAGTTATGGAACAAAAAGGTAGAGTGGAACCATAAATCTTAATGCCTATTCTGCACTTAGGATTCAAAAAGGTGTTTGTTGTAAATGTTCTGATCAGGTCAAACTCAGGCTCTTGCACATTATCAGACTCTCAATATTTTTGATCACCAGTAAAAACATTAAGAGAACTAGACTCAGGTTCAGCAGACCACCTCTCCTTTGCAATGGGGACTAGAAATGAGAAGTTGAAATAAGAGGTTAGGTCCTAAGAGTTTATTCATATAGCTTCCGTGCTAGCAACCCTCCCCATCGCCACTTCATCTAACCATTAAGTTACAAGGACAACAGATTTTGGTGTAATATGAAACAGAACTGAGAGAGAAAGCAGATTAGTGGTTGGCAGGGTCTGGGGATGGGGAGAGAATGGGAAATGACTACTAATGTTAATAGGGCCGCTTTCTGGAGTGATGAAAAATGTTCTGAAATTAGGTAGTCTAATATTCTACACAACCTGTGAATATACTTTAAAGTCACTAAATGGTACACTTTTAAAGGGTTAATTTCATGGCACGTGAATTATAGACCACAATTAAGAAAAACAATTCTAATAATTGCTTTTACAGGGTCTGTATTACACAGGGTCTGTATTTCACAGGAGCACCTGGTCTCCTTTGCAATTCTTCTCCGGGAAAGAAACAAAATTTTCAAAGGGGATAGGAGGGAGATGCTGAAGAGAGCTTGTCCTGCTCTAAAAGTGCCTTCCAAAGTGTCCTCATCACTGGCTATGAGAGGCCAAGGCTTTAACAAACAATGTTTCACCACTTTAGAATAGTCATTTATTTCTAGGCAAAGACCATTAATTAAAAAAGCCACTCTCTGGACTCCTGAATAATGTGAGGAGCTGTGCTGTGGAAGCTGGTTAAAGCCTCTAACTAACAAGGGGTTAAGGGCGGCTAACACAGATCTTTACCAAAGGGCCTCCTCTGCTAAATTCTAGCCACTTCATTCTAAACTGAGGTAGCTACTCTGCCTCCAAGACATCCGAAAAGTCAAAGAAAAACCATTAGGACAAGATTCCAGGCCCCCAAAACATAAAATCCCAGTCACCTTTTTCTAATTGGTTCACAAATCATTTTAGTAACTAAAATGAACACACAAAAGAGGACAAAAGGCAAGATAGTGTATCCAACCTAACCTGAGAAAAATTTTTAAAAAAGGAAAAAGGTCAGGCACCATGCACCAACAACATGGGTAAGCTCAGTTATCATTATGAGCCGCACTGAAAATATCAGCATACTGGGCCTCTCCTCCAGGTGGCACAGTGGTTGAGCACTGTACAGAAGCTGCAGAAGCTGCCTGCAGCCTCTGCAGCACCGGTTTGATCCCTGGCGGATGGCGAGGGTCCCACATGGCACGACAGAACTCTCCTGCTGCACCCGCTGCTCCCCTCAGCAGTATATTTCGTCAGTCTGCCTGTTCTGTTCCCTGCTTTGACTCTGGTGAATTCTCTCACCCTCCCTCACTTCTGACTGTACCCAGTGCTTGTATAAATAAATAAACAAACAAACAAACAAATAAATAAATAAATCTTTAAAAATAGAAAAAAAAGAAAATATCAGCATACTTAAATGCACACAAATTAAAAAATAAAGCTGTATTTCCAACAATAAAGGTTTACCTTTAAATTAAACTGCTGAAAGAAAGAAGAAGTCTTTTCTTAATGTTTTGTATAGTTGCTTAGTTGACCACTGAGGAAAATCAAAGTATTTGTGGTCATTTTCATGTTCAGTATGGTTCTGATGGTTATGTGTAGAATAGTGAATATGGTATAACTTTATGCACCTAACAATGGTCTGATACTTTGCCTCTTACCCAGCTGTAATCACTTGATGCCTGTTAATGGCAGGTCAGAGTACAAAGCATCTCCATCATTCTTTCACCATCCTACCAAAAGGTCAATTTTTTTAAAAATTGGAAATAAAATTGGGAGAGGGGTAGGAGTGGGGAGCCATGGAGAGGAGGAAGAATGTACCAAATCCTCTAAGACAAATAAATGCTATTAAGAAAATTCTAAGAAAATTTTCTTCTGAGTCAACCCATATTTAGGCAACCATACTTTAAGTGAGCACAATTGAATGCGAATAAAGGAAACAGTTTGTTCTGACCTACTGCAATCATGACCTGGGCACAAATTTGATAGGAGATTCCAATGTGATTGTTTAGTGATTCTATTCTTTATCAGTGACAGACATCAAGAGCTAGTATTAAAAAAAAAAGATAATTCAAAAACTCAACTGCACTCACCGATAATGAGAAAATCAAAGTGCCAAAACCTAAATCATGCAGGATGACGCAATTCATGATCTGACAAGAGGAAGAAAAAGGACAGTTTTTCAAAGGGAAAAACACATTTGATAACAGCCTTACATAAAGAACAGAACCAGAAGAAAGCTCAAAATACTACCAAAATAAAAAATTTCTTAAGCAAATGTGCTTATTGATGACTTGTTTCAATTAAAAAAAAATCATAAAACCAAAAAACCTTTAAGTTCTAATGCTAAAGAATCCAGACATGTCCTGTGTATTATCTAAATTTAGGAAAAAATTTAAATGTATAATCTAGTTACTTAAATGTTACTCTGTTGTCTATCACTTAGTTCAAATTTTAATCTTAACCTCTCAGTTCAAAACAGTATCTGAAATCATACAGTTAAAATAAAAGGAGACACCCAACACAAAATCAGGCAACTGAACAGATCCCTGTTATTTCTCAACTGTCATTTAGCAGGGTGATCTCTATGCACATGGGTCATTCTGGGAGATGCTGAGAGTTCTCAGAATTCATGACCGATGGCGGATACTTCTTTAAGCATTAGTTTGAGTACCACTCATACCAATAGGTTTACCAAGCAAACCACTGTTCTGCAGTGATCCTGCGTTAAGACCAAAGTACCAGAACTGCAGGAGTGGGTGGCAGGTGATATATGCAGCTAACTTGTGTCTTCATTTCTTTTAGAACTAGGGAGATGATTTCAACCACAT